ACCCAGTCCTCCAGTTTATTTACACAACTAACCCAACAGAACCATAAGCCAACCAGCTGTAACAGAACAATAAGCCTCCCAGCTATATACAAGCAAAAATTTAAAACTTTAATGTAACTTCAATAATTCCAAATTAAGAAAATAACAAACAAGAAATTAGCGTTGATACCTATTTGCTGTAAGTGGAATAAGATCATCTTTCCTTTTTCTAAAGCATGGATTATTACTGTCAAGATGAGCGTATTTTTAAAGCATAGGCAAACTGAAGGACGTGACCCCTAGCTCATATTGAGAGAGACTTTGCTGAGGGATTGTCTCTCTTTTGTAGCATGGGGCGTGAGCCTTTTCTTAGGCTCTTTCAAGCCTATATCAGTTAACTTTCCCTGCTGTTGCTGTCGCAGGACACTGGCAGTCTCCCCTTGCTATTACCTGTGATAGAGTATAAAGGGGTGTCTGGTTTTCTGGGCCTTATGCCTGCTGATTGTGCACGAGGGTTTAAAGTAGTAATTTTGGGGGATCCTTTGGGTAGATGATTGTCTGGCAGTGGGGGGGCTGGATTCAGTGGCCCAGTAGATCCCTTCCTGCCCTGTATTTCCCCCCTAATCTCTGCAGTGTACAGGCCAAGTGAGACAATCGCTGTTTCTGCTTCTCACATTTTATTATCCTAACAACCTCTCCTTCCTTTTTGTTAAGGCACCTTCTGTTGCACAGTTTCAAGTGATTTAAATGTTGTTAGAGTTTTGATGAGTTAACTTTTTCATAATTCTCCCCGTAGATCAATCTTCTGAATCGAAACTGTCGTCAAAACCCAAGGTACCTTCTCCAAACCAATCAGGACAGTCATCTGAAAAACCTGTTAACCTGTTGAAAAGCCAGTCCTTTCCATCACTCTGCCTTAACTCGGAAACTTCTTCTGAACTGTCCAAATGCACAGAGTTTCCTGGAAAAAGAAAACGGGTCTCCGTGGATACGGAAACGAAAAGCTTAGGACAGCCCACTGTACGGGGTTCAGACAAACCTTATTTCCATAGATCTGAACAATGTACAAATGGAAAATCTGAGTGTATAAAACTCATCGAGTTAAAGTCTCCACAGAATGGTATTCTACAACTAGAGAATGCTGCTACTTCAGCCAGAGATGATTTGCCTCTTTCAGAGGACTATCGGGACTTAAATGAAAAAGATAACTCTTCTCCTGTGGATTCACGTTCTGGATGCAGTGCAAGTACAGATGATCAAATGTGTGTTGCAGATTCCAAAGAAAATCATTTGCAAGTAACTTGCTCACAACTCTCTTTGGAAAAGTCTTGTCCTTTTTCTCAAGAAAAAACTGGCATAATGACTTCTCCTCATCAGTTAACAAGAATTCATGCAGACACTGTGTATACAAAAGAAACAAAATGCCTACCACATTCCTCCCAGGTTCAGATGGCCACTGTGTCATCTTTGGTATTGGGTGCTAAGAAAGAGCAAGACGGACTGAGACCAACAGAACCTGTCCTCTGTAAAGCTGGTAATACACAGCATCCCTCAGATTTACACAGAAGCTTTTCTAAATCAAAAAAGAATGGTGAAAAAACCTCAGAAGATGCTTGTAGGCTTCTGAGAGTGGAAATTTCTGAGAAGCCTTTATCTTCAGTAAGGACTGGTAAAAAAAGGGTTGCACGTTCACTGTCTTTTAAAGGTGCATGTTCAGCTAATAACCCTAGCTCTTCACAGTTTTTAAATGAGTTGGACACTGAAAGCCACACAGTAGAGACTTCTGTGCTGAATGGGAATTTAAGGAACAGTTTTGATAGTGAAGATGAGAGTATTGAATGCAATCTGGAAAGTGAAGAAGAAGAAGAAATACTCTTACCACTGCAGGAAATCCTGTCTTTGAGTTCCAAGCCACAAAGTAGAACCCCAGACAGAGCTTGTCTTCAGGATCTTTCACAGGATACCATGTCTCTCTCACCAAAACTTCCTGTAAGTGGCTTAAAAAATTACTGTCTTCTTTTAGAAGTTGACTAATTATGAAAAAGAAGTACCTTTTCTAAATCCGTAAAGTCTGTGCATCTGGCTGTAAAACTGGCTCTTTTAAGTAACTAGACTTAAAAAGAGGTGAGCATCTGTCTCTTTGTTAAACCGCATTTGTTCGTGTAGTATATGAGAGGCTTACAAAAATTACATGGTCAAAAACTTACTTTGTATTTCTTCCCTTCACTTTTCCCTTCCTATAAAAAGGAAGCTTTTTTTTGTTTTTTTGGGGGGGGGGGTGTAGGTGAAGTAAAACTTGACATTTTATATTTTCCTTTTTTCCCAAATGTGGTAAGATCTTTCTGCCGAACCAAGGAAGTTCGTTATTTATGACAGCTGAAAAAACTTACCAGGTTTCAAGAAATTCCCTTTCACGGTTCATTTTAATAGTAGCTGCTGAGTTCAGTGTCTTAGTAGGTCCTGATCTCTGAGGGTGCAGCTTTCTTCAGTGCAGTGCATCTCCTTGCTTTTAAAGGGTGCATTTCCTTGCAGGCGGGGCTTGGTGTGTAGAACTGGTTCTGGAGTCGCTTTTAATTGACAGGTGGAGGGAGAAAGGCATGTGACCCTGATCATACAAGATGCAGGGCTTAGAGAGAAGATAGCGTATAATTGTGTCTTTTAAAATTTAGTTGTTAGTAGCAGAGAATGGCAAATAAGCAGCCCTTTTAAAATTTTATGATGCATAAATGAGGTTTGACTTAAAGGTCTAGTGTAAAGATTTTCCTAATGCAATGTTCCAACCACAGGCTAATATACTTAGGAAAAGCTAAATTTAAATGAATTTTTCCTAAACTTTTTTTTATTAAATAAGACAATCATGACTAGCCTGACTAATTTTTTGTTGTTCTCTGTTTGACTCTTTCAAACCAATTCATCTTGTTGACTGGGTTCTTGGAAGACATCTCAAATCCTGTATATGCAAACATATAATCCCTGGGCACCATAAATTCTGTGTGTACTTCAACCACTTAATTACACAGCTGCATGCTAGGTCAGATGTTTGTGGTACATATACATGACCACAAACCTCTGACCGACATGCATCTGTAGTTAGCAGGCAGCAGAGATGCACTGATCAGGTTGCTCGAGCACTTCCATTACCTCATAATTGTGATTTGTCTTTAGTTTTTTATTAAAGAAAGTGTGCACAAACAAAAAAAATCTCTGACTCCTGAACAGCTCAAAAGCCTTCTTGGGTATACTTTCTACATGGTAATCAAATGCATAACTGCCAAGAGTGCTGCTTCATTTCTTGCAGCACGTTTCTTTGTTATGAAATGTACTACACTTTATAATGTAGCAGGTCCAGGGATTTAGGCTCACTTCTAACCAGCTTTACTGGTCTTCTGGCCTTGCTTAGTGAAAACAGACATAATTCCCCTAGGAAGTAAACAAATATGTGTAATTCTTGAATAGTACATACAACTGTATTGGCTGATGATAAATTTTTCATATAAGGTTTTTAAATAAGGTTGGAGATGATGCACTGGGTACTAGATAAAGACGGATAATTGTGACCATTGCACAAAAAGAACTGAGCTGAGAATAAAACTAAGGGCTGAAATGGTAGACCTATGTTTCATTATATAGACTGCAGCATCTCTTGGGGAGAAGATGTTTCCACTTCCAGCAACTGTGTAATCTGCTAGCTGGGGCTCTTTGTCCTATGTATTTTAATGTAGCTAGGCATTATTCCCCTGCATATGTACAGCCCTTGACACGGCAGGGTCCCATTCTATGACTAGTGCTCCTTGGTTCTACTAGACCTAGTAAAACTTAAATAATTAAATTCCATTGTCAGAAATGACCTGGGTGTCTAAGCTAGGTGTCTTCAGTATAAAAGGGGCACTTCTGCATGTACTCTGAGGGTATGGGAGGCGGCACTTTAATTAGAGCAAGCTGCTCTAAATAAAACACTGCAGCATCTCGTGTATCGGTGTCCCTGTGCTTCAAAATGGTGGCTGGGGCGCTGGAACTAAAGGCTGGCTGGAAATGGAGGTGCCTTGGAAAACATTATGCATCTGGCCCAAACTCCCATTAAAAGTCACTGGGAAGCCTGAAATGCCTCTTGAAAAATCTGGCCATTAAGCTCCAGACTCCCGTTGAAAAAGGAAATGCATTTTAAACCTGCTTATTTTCTGGATCTCATTAACATTTTTATTAGCAAATTAATAAGAATCTGTTCTTGAGCAGGCAGATTAGATTAGGGTTATAGATCCTACTTAGTGTCTGGCAGTGATCCAACTAATAAGACAGTGCCTGTTAAAAATAAGGCTTCTTACTGTTTTGTTACAGCTTCTAAAGCTTACCGTTGCTACTGAAGTGTCTTATGTAAACAGCCTGGAGCATCTTGTGAAGGAGAAAGAAGAATCCAAAAGGTTAGCATGTTTAATTTTTAAGATAAATATGAAGCTGGTGGAGAAAATGTTTATTGGCTGTGAGATCTGAGGTGGCAGAACTGACGGGCGTCAGCTAGTTAAACATGTTCATCAGTTGCTTGCCCCCGCCTGCCTAAACTTGTTTGCAGAGACTACCTGCATGTAAGCAGTTGGCTGATAGATTCATCGTAATAAATACAACCATAGTGTTGGCATATGTTCTTAATGGCCAGGAGGTGTCTCACAACTGCCACAACCAAGATTGAGTATTAGGCATAAAGCAGAAGTACTTTGTTTAGGATTATTACGGTAGCTCCTTCAGAGCCTATTGCTACTCGCATTGATTTAGCCCAGCAGGACTCCTAAAATTTAATTTGTTGGTGTCTGGCAGCATCCGAACTGCCACATCTTGGTGGACAGAATTAGCATCTTCCAAGATAGCCTTGGGGTAAATAAAAGGCATGCTCCAGAATGTGTACAGATGTCACTCTGCAAAGATGAATGAAGTCCTAGCTAGTAAAGTACTTCAATCCACATCAGAATTGACCTCTGGAATCAAGTAACAGAAGAAGGAATAGTTTCATAGTTTCTAGGGTCGGAAGGGACCTGAGCAGATCATCTAGTCCAACCCCCTGCCATGGCAGGAAGAGCACTGGGGTCAAATGACCCCAATAAGGTGGTCATCCAACCTCCTCTTAAAAGCCCCCAGGGTGGAAGCCTGCACCACCTCACTTGGAAGCTGGTTCCACACCCTAGCCGCCCTGACTGTGAAGTAGCGCCTCCTGATGTCCAACTTAAACCTTCCCTCCGCCAGCTTGTGACCATTGTTCCTGGTCACTCCTTGCGGCGCTAGGGGGAACAGGGACTCCCCCAGCACCTGCTGATTTTCCCCCCTAACCAGTTTATAACAGGCCACAAGATCCCCCCTCAGCCTTCTCGTTTGAAGGCTGAACAGGTTCAGGTCCCG